TAAGGAGGAGGAGTTTTATATTCTAAATTTTTCCCTTTTTTCCTTCTGTTTGAAATGGTATCAAATCATGCTATTATATTGTTATTTAATATGAACGATCTTTTTTCCTCAAATGTGTGTTTCTATGTCCTAGGACTGCAGTGAGAATTTTGGGGTCTATGAACATCAGGGACATCAGCTTTTCATGTTCCTTTTTCTTGTGGTGTCCTTGTGTGCACAGGTGTCTAGGAGACTCTGACCTTTTAGAATGAGTTTGGCTCCTTCTTGCCCTTTAGATTCCTTGAGTTTCTTTGAGAAGCTGTGGAATTCCTACTATGAAAGGTGGAGAGATTTGGACAATAATGCCATCTAGGTCTGTACTCTTCCTTGGAAGACTGGTGATTACTGATTCAATCTCTCCACTCATTGTTGGTGTGTTCAGGGTTTAAATGTGGTAGGTTATATGTCGAAGAATTAATCCACTTACTGTAAGACTTCGATTGTTATTGAATACCATCTCTAATAATATTTTTGTGGTATTGATTTTAATTTCTTTTTTATCGATAATTCTATTTATTTTAGGTATTGTGTCTTATTTTTCTTAGTCTACTGAAATATTTGCTGATTTTACCATTTCAAAATACCAGCCCTGGGACTGGAGAGATGACACAGTGGTTAAGAGCACTGTCTGCTCTTGCAGAAAATCCAGGTTTAAATACTAACACCCCCATGGCAGCTAACAACTCTCCATAACTTCAGTTCCAGGGGATCTGATGCCCGCCTCTGTCTTCCAGGGGCACTACATGGCACAGGCACACTTTCATACATACAGGCGTAACACTCATATACATAAAAGAAAAATAAATCAATATTTTTAAATACCAATACTTTGATTCATTTATTGTATGGATTATTTAGTCCTCATTTTTATGCTTCTTCATTTTGTTTATACTCTGCTCTCTGTAATTTCTTTCTTTGTGCTAATTATGGTTATGATTTGTTCTTTTTAAGACATTGAGATTATTCTAGTTTGCTTTCAAGTGCCCTGACAAAATGCTCTGACCAGTACCAACTTGGGGAGGAAAGGGTTCATTTGGCTCATATCTCCTGGGTCATAGTTTATCACTGAGGGAGCCCCAGGTAGGAACTCAAGGCAGGAACCTGGAGGCAGGAGCTAGAGCACAGGCCATGGAGGAACGCTGCTTACTGACTTGCTCCCCTGGCCCATTGGCTCAGCCTGGTTTCTTATACAATACAGAACAACCTGCCCAGGGGTGGCACCACCCACAGTGGGCTGGGCCCTCCTACATCACGCAGCAATCAAGAAGATGCCCCACAGTCATGCCCATAGGCCAGTCCAATGGAGGAAATTCCCCAGTTGAGGCTCCTTCTACCCAGGTAGGTCAAGTTGACAACTAAAGCTATCCAGCACATAGATGCATTGCTAAGTTTTTTTTTTTTTGACTCTTCCTATTTTTATAGTTTTGAAGGTTATTGCTGCAAACCTCAAAACTCCTATTAGTGCCCTTTCTCTGTGACTCCTAATATTTGGGTCTACTGCATTTCCATTTCCATTAGCAGCTAAATTCTGAATTTCCCCTTTGATATCCTCAGTGCTCTATTACTCATTCAGTGGCATTTTAGTAGGTATCCATGAATTTGCTTTTTATTTGAAGGTTTTGTCTTCTGGCGGCTAGTCTTAGTTTCAAGATTTTTTTTCATCATGATCAGAGAAGATTCATGATCTAACTTGCATATCTTTGCATTTTGGAGACATTTTGTGACTTAATATTTGTGTCTATCCTAGAGCATTTTGCATAGACTGAAGAAGAGAATACATGGCCAGGTATGGGAGGATATGTGTCTAATCCTAGCAGTTGGGAGGCTAAGGAAGGGGATCATGACTTCAAGTCTAGTGTTGGTAACAGAATAGAACTTCATCTTCAAAACCAAGGAAGCATGTGTTATTTAGTTGTTGGATAAGATGTCCAGTAAATTTCTAAACACTTTATTTAAATTTGATGCTTCATTATTGATTTTTCTGCCTGAATGACTTGACTAAAATGGAATGGTAAAGTCTGATAACTTATATTCATTGCCAACTCCACTAGACTTAGAATCACCATGGAAACACATATCTGGAGATGTCTATGAGAGTGTTTCCAGAAAGGTGTAACTAAAGAGGGAAGGCCCACCCTGAATGTGGGTGGCACCACTGATGGGTAGGCCCGCAGACGGAATAAAAAGGTGAAAGCAAGCTGAGCAGCGGTGATCATCTGTCTCTGCTTCCTGACTTCATATGCAATGTGACCAGCTGCCTCCATTTCTTTCACATGATTCCTAGCTATGACAGACCATACCCTCCGTTAGCCACAGTAACCCTTTCCTTCCTGAAGTTGCTTTGGTCAGGTATCTTGTCACAATAGAAGGAAAGTGACTAGTAAAAACTTTCCAGCTATTACTGTGTAGTACCCTATGCTTTCCTTTAAACCTAATTATGTTTACTTCTTTTTTTCTTAGTTTTTACAAAAACTTTATTGAGAATTTCATACATATAATGTGTTTTGATCAAATCCATGCCCACTCCCTCCCCTCCAACATTCCCCCCCTCTGAAGAGGTAACCCTAAAATCTTTTAAGAATTAGATACAAGCTCCCAAATACTTTTGACATTTTTGGCCTTTGAAACAGAATATGTTGCTAACAGGCCCAAGGACATTTTGACTTTTAGCCAAGAAACTGGCTACATTTCTTTGGGGTCTTTTTACCCTAATTGCCTAGCCAATTCCTACCTCCTATTCTTATCACACCATCCTCTGAAGGAGTTACCCAAATTCCAATAGGGAATAGGGATGCAAACTGCTCTGGCTTCTTCCATGCTGAACAGGAACACAGGGTGAAGCAATTGGGGTACCCCTTCAGTGGGTCTACCTAAACGACTCCCAAATTGCATAACTCTTGTCTCTAAGGAGAGAAGAAAGTCTTTGAATCATGAATAGGAGATGTGAAGAAGTAAAGGCAAGAGTAATTAGCATTACAAGTTTTAGACAGGGAACTAGAAAAAGATGATGCTATACAATAGTCCCTTCTGCATGAACTAACTACCATCATCACGACTTTGGCTGAGCCTGATCACTAAACATAGCCACAATTGGGCTTGTTGATGGTTGTGCTCATTCATTAAAGGAGTGCCAAGCAGGGTCACTAGACCCTCACCTGAGTATTCAGCCGCTCTTCCCAGCCAGCTAGTCCAGCCTTGGAAGACAAAAGAAAAATGAGGAAGAACCCAGTAGAGGGATGCTTTTGGAAGCCCTTGTCAAGAACATCTCTCAAAAGGTCCTGTAACTGTGGTAAGTCACCTGTCCTCTTGTTCAGGGAGGACACGGAGACCCCACAAGATGGACTTGAACCAGTGTCCAGTCTACAAAGAGGTGGGTCAACTCAGAGGAAACATTCATGCTTCCAAGTGAAGCCAGATATGGTTGAGTAAGACCTTTGATTTGTCTTCACATAAATGGAACTGGTAAAAGAAAGGAGCCAGGAACTCCTCCCACGTCCATGTGACCCCTGAGAAACAGATCTTCAAATGACCTTAAGTGTGAAATTAAATTGATTTATTTGGGCCAACTGTATGGTCTTAAACACCCCAAAAGAAAGTATAATCACAGGGTAAAGTGATCAGTATATTTCTTTAATCATTGATGATTTTGTTCCTAACCAGAAAGTGCTGCTCAGATGTAAGA